TTCATCAAGATCATCGGCCTTGCAGAGCATAAGACCAAGGGGCAGCATGAAGGACCGGTGAGAAGATGGTTGAGCGAAAACTAGGGAATCCTAGGGGGTAGACAAGTTCTTCATCAAGATCATCGGCCTCGCGCAGCATAAGGCCAAAGGGCAGCACGGAGGATTGGTGAGAAGATGGTTGAGCGAAAACCAGGGAATCCTAGGGGATAGACCTGTTCTTCATCAAGATCATCGGCCTCACGCAGCATAAGACCAAGGAGCAGCACGGAGGACCGGTGACAAGATGGTTGAGAAAAAACTAGGGAATCCTAGGGGATAGACCTGTTCTTCATCAAGATCATCAGCCTCGCGCAGCATAAGACCAATGGGCAACACGAAGGATCAGTGAGAAGATGGTTGAGCGAAAACCAGGGAATCCTAGGGGATAGACATGTTCTTCATCAAGATCATTGGCCTCGCGCAGCATAAGACCAAGGGGAAGCACATAGGACCGGTGAGAAGATGGTTGAGCGAAAACTAGGTAATCCTAATGGACAGACCTGTTCTTCATAAAGATCATCGGCCTCGCGCAGCATAAGACCAAGGGGCAGCACGGAGGACCGGTGAGAAGATGGTTGAGCAAAAACCAGGGAATCCTAGGGGATAGACGTGTTCTTCATCAAGATCATCGACCTCGCGCAACATAAGACCAAGGGGCAGCACGGAGGACCGGTGAGAAGATGGTTGAGCGAAAACAAAGACCCCTCAAAAAAAGGGGAGGGGCACCAGGGAGTCCCGAAAGGGGTAGACATGTTCTTCATCAAGATCATCGGCCTCGCACAGCATAAGACCAAGAGGCAGCATGGAGGACCGGTGAGAAGATGGTTGAGCGAAAACCAGGGAATCCTAGAGGATAAACTTGTTCTTCATCCAGATCATCAGCCTCGCGCAACATAAGACCAAGGTGCTGCACAGCGGACCGATGAGAAGATGGTTAAGCAAAAACCAAGGAATCCTAGGGGGTAGACCTCTTCTTCATCAAGATCATCGGCCTCGTGCAGCATAAGACCAAGGGGCAGCACGGAGGACCGACGAGAAAGTGGTTGAATGAAAACCAGGGAGTCCCAAAAGGGATACATCTGTTCTTCATCAAGACTGTCGGCCTCACGCAGCACAGTCTCAAATGCCAGAGCTGTGGAGGATCGATGAGAAGGTGGTTGAACGAAATTAGAATACCATTCGCCTCGTTAGCAGTACGGAAGGCAAATCAAAACAAAAGAGATACACCAAGGAGGATACAAGGGAAGAGTCAAACTTGACCGCTGCCCGGAGGAATCATCGGTTGCCTTTCCTCCTCGGCCTGCTTCCGCTCGCCCTCCTCCTGCTTCTCCTCAAGGTACTTCAGAGCCCTTTCATGAGCTTCGATGAAAGATGCATTGAACCCAGCATCTTTAGGGTCAAAGGGGGGAGGAAAGTGACGTTCAAAAAAACGGAAATTGTCCGCCAAAAGGCCAATCATCCCCACAGTGGCGACGTACGGCTCCAATGCTCGGGGCACCTGGGGCGGCAAGCCAGCGCATCTGGAACAATTTTCTTGGGGATGTCCGTACTCACCACGAGATGAATGCCGAGTACGGACGCATGAGACGCCCGCCTCCACAAAGTGGCGACAAATCAAGATCCCGACGGGAGATGATTATCATTAGCGGTACGATCGAACCCTCAGCGTCATTGTGTCCTGAACACGGTCGGCTTGTCCATACCTTCCAGGATGGCAACCACCGTCTTATGCAGTACGACTGGCCCCTCAGTGCCATCGTGCCCAGTGTACGGTCAGGCTCACTGTGCAGATAAAGGTCATGATCGGGACGAAGGATAACGGAGGATGCTCAAAATGAATCTTGGTGAGGACTATCGTAGCAAAGAAGAGCATCTCCACTTCAGAGGCCGAGGTTCTGGCGACAAGCATCATCCACGAAGAGGCCAAGGGCCATGAGATGAGCATCGTGGTTGAGGGCCGTGAGATGCGCAGCGTATCCATGGACTGAGCCTGCCAAGGCTGAGCATATCGAAGTCATAACATTCAAAGGAATCCGAGTCAGGTCTTTAGGGACCGATCTTCCTAAGCATGTCGAGCCGAGCAAAGAAATTGAAAATTCCGGAGGTCGAACATCTCTAGGAACTCGTGCTGAGGATTGACGCTTAACAAGACAAGGTCGGGGTGCCCCCGGGTCGTGCATGATGAAGGTGGACATATCAAGGATGAGGTTCTAGGAATCGAACGTTCGAAGGAAGTTGAGTCGGGCATTCGGGGACCGAACGGCCCATGCCCTCACACATATGCCAACAAAGATTGAGGACGAGCACGGGCAAGAGTATACTTTCTCGAGCAGATTCGTGTGCTCACTACTCAAGAAACTGGGGGACTTGTGTTGGGTTAATCACCCTACGAACCTCCCCAGAGGCAAACAACAGAGAATACCCTCCCTCTAGACGGGAAGACGTACGTCCCCAACGGGCCGCCAAGGCCCATTCACATAGACGGCCGGGTACGGAGATCCAGTAAATAAGGCAAGACGTTCGGAGATCCAGAATACAGCAGGCAACCGTCGCCTCACGAGCGTCGACTAAAGGCAGTACAGCGGAAGCAGTTTTACTTCAAGGCCACCGAATGGTCGTCGCCTAAGCCCAAGCCTTCTGGTGAGACCCCTTTGAAGCAGCCCAAAGAAGAGAAGAGGTTCGTCCCCACAGGGGATGTTCAGCCCCATGGTACCAAACTCGGAAAGGCGGATAGGTGCATTCCAAGGACAACCATCAGGGGAGGTACGACAGGAGACACAGAGTGGCTCATCGACTTGGGAGGCTCCAAGGGTATTAGTTGGCGCCGTACGTCGGATTCAATTCTACTTCCTTATGTCCCGCGCACGCTCAGAACATCAGAAGTGGGGGAATTGTGTTGGGTTAATGGCCCAACGGGGGTTGGCTCATAAACCCTGAAGGCCCACCCTACGAATGTCCCCAGAAGGCCAAAGACAACTAGTTAGCCCCCCATTGTCCTGGCGAGGATTGTCCCCAATGGGGTCAAGCCCAGGGGACGTACGTATCCTAGCGTAGGCAGGTACCTAGGCGCAGGAGCAGCACGAGACGCTCGTCTTGCAGGATTTAGGGCCCAACAGGAAACAGGAGGAAAACTCATGGGGACGAACGTCCCCACTCCTTGCCGGAAAGCCAAGATGCTGGCGTGAAGCGCATTTAATGCAGAAGATTTGGTGGTTGCGCATTTAATGCAGAAGATTTGGTGATTGGGATCAAGCCATCCATAGCTCGCCACGTCAACGCATCTAACTACCCATTGGCGGTATAAATAGTAACATTTATTTTATTGTAAAGGGTTGGCAACTTTGCACTCTAGCATTCTAGCAATTATATCAGCTCATAGCATAGCTCTGTACAAACGGCCTCTCAGCTTTGTAACCCTTTCAGTGTATTAAGACTTCTATTGGGCCCTTCTTGCTTGTTTCTACATCTACTTCATCATAAAATTTCACACAGAAGCATCTTTAATAGCATGTTCTACATTACATCACTATGCATAGTAAGAGTGGTGGATCATTTGCAAGAAATAAGAATTGTTACAAAATAGAGATTAAGAGTGAAATTAATTTTGTGGTTGAAATTACTGTAGAGGACCTTACTTTAGTTGTTTTTCATATAATTTTATTTTTATTTAATTAATAAAACATACTTCATATTTTATATATTAAATATATTGTTCCCATATTTCAACATATTTAATCAATTCAGCCACTTTATTCAAAATTTCACTAATTTCAAACAGATTTGGTTGATTTCATCTAAGTGTTACCGAACGGCTCTAATTCCCATCAAGTATAAATTATAACTATAATTTTTTGAACCAAGTCCCCATAATTTTTGTCTGAAGATACTGTTGTTAGAGGAGAAAATAGTAATGGCTATTTTGTAGGTCTATTATTTTGTAGAGGCCCACTTTTTAGTAATGGCTATTTTGTAGGTCTGTTATTTTGTAGAGGCCCACTTTTTAGTAACTTTAATTGTTTTTTCTCTTAAAAAGCTACTCATCATATTAGTATGAGTGCAAAATTTTCTTTAATTGTCTAACGCAGGGCTAAAGAGTGTTAACCTGCCTAAATCAAGGTGGGATTCAACGCAGCCACGCACGGGAGAAAATATAAGACGAAATACAATGGAATGTATAGAAAAACAAATTCCAGTGACACCACTTGATTTCAATCTGGTATTACTAATTTGGGTAATAATTTAAAATAAATCATACTCAATTAAAGTATTAAACACGACTACCAAAAAAGCTTGCGGACAGGGCCGTGTAATGAATTTGGACACCCTGGTTCTAAATGTAAATCGAGGCCTCACTTGAATATAAAAAAAATTGAAAAAAATATCAATCCAAATACTTATACTCAAAACAATTGAATACTCATTAAAAAGAATTAAAAGAGTAAAAGGACCAATGAAAAAATGATGGATCTGTATTTTTCTTCCTTACTAAATGTATTTCACTAATTAGTATTAATATATAATATTAGTACAAACTCCCTCCGTCCCTTAAAACTTCACTTTGTCATTTTTCTTTATAATCAATTATTTTGTGGTTTCTGTTATTTCTCTCTCCTCTGCACAAACCTCAGATACACAGTTTTTACTTTATTATTCTCCGTGCCGGTCAACTTTCGCAAAGTTTTAAGGGACGGAGGTAGTACTATATAGTACTAAAATAAATTTAAAATTTTGGGCCTAAAAAATTCGGGCTCTGTTCTGGATAATCTATTGAACCCCCTAAAAAACGGCTCTCTTGAAGAGAAATTTAATGGGTTTCCCATATTGGATACTAACTACCATAACCAAAGGCTAAATGGTGTTCACACGGTTTTTTAGCTGAATGGAAAAATAATAGCCACTGGCGTGCATCAAGGACCATACATTAACCGGAAGGAAACATGAAAGGGACTGTTAATTTGAGTGTTTTCCCAGTAAAATGTCTTCTAAAAAAGACAGCATTTCTATTCTTAAGATTTGTTGTCCCATTCACACACAAAGCGATAAAGTGGAAATATATTTCAATCAGAAGAGTGAATAAGGCTTTATATGATCTTGCAGAAGAGTAAAGATAGAGAAATCAAACTTCATCCTCTTCTACACCTTTGCAAATGTTTAACTCGACTTTCGTGCAAGTGTTACATGGTTGATGACTTGATGCCATTAAAATAAACAACCCGATCCAATAATTCTAATCCGGCTATATATAAGAAAACACCCAAGAAATCATTATGTAGTGGCATGTTTTTGGGTATAGTGACAAGTGTGGTCCTTGTTCAAGTATAAGTAGCTTATCTTCTTAGAGAGGCCGATCTCTGTCTTCACGGCTGAGAACCCACGATACTTGTCCTGTATCTTTGCTTCACACACATCAACAATGTGCTTGAGCATCTCATGTTGTTGGATGAATGGCTGAGATGCATATTCTTCATATGGCATCCACTACCGTATGAGTTGATACACGAGTTCAGAGACGAAGAAAATTGAGATGGTGTACATAGATTTATGACCAATTAACAAATGGATTAAATAAATTCAATGCTATGCATGCAAAAATTACGTAATGCCAGATCTAACACTAGCCACGACGAACTTGATGACTGATTAACCAGAAAACTACATCTAATAAGGGGTTTTGATAAATAGACAATTGAACTCAAATTTTCTAACTCTGATCTAGTCCGGACTGTTCTGTTCAATTCTTGATGGTATCATGTGTGATTTATGATGATCTAAGTCTAATTGGTACGGTCTGATTTCAGGCTCATCTAATCTGTTTAAATCTATTCTTATCTGGTCTAATATGTTTAACTCTGTTCTTTTATGGTCTAATCTATTCAAGTCCAATCTAGTCTGATATGGTTTGGGGTTGAATAAATTCAAGCGAAAACATCCTAAATATACCACTTAAAGATAGAAATATGATTACTTTTAACTCCATAAAAATGACTATATATGTCACTGTCAGTAGCATCCCAGAGGCACCGCCACTGCGAGTGACACCGCCTACATCACTACGACCAACAATGGGGGAGTTGATAGGTTGGGAGAAAAGATTGGAATATATTCCGTGTTTTATTTAGTCATTGTTTCAATATATTTTAAAAAATCATATGTTTTGCCATTGAAATGCTAGTAGCTATATTTTGGACATTTTCCATTTAATAATACCTGGGCTTCTTCTATCTCTTGTTCCTGAATTTGAATGTCAAAGGATGACGGTTGCATCATGCACAAGAAGAATAAATCCGACTTCTCAAAAAAGGACTTGTGGCTCTGCCTGGAATGTAAATTTTTTAAAGTTCCAAATTTTACTGAAAGCTGATCATCCTAGTCACAACATAAAATATATTACGTTGTGACCGTATGAAGAGCAAGGTATTAAGAATTATATAATGAAATGACAGCCAATGAAGAGCTAAATGAAGGCAAACAGATACCTGAAAGCTAGTATCTCCACAAAGGTTGTATCGATCTGAAGCAACATAAAACAAAATAGTGAAGCTTATATTAGGACATATGCATTGTGATATTTGGAATAAACGAGAAATACTTAACCGTAAACTTCAGACTAATTACCCACCCCTGTCTCTTCTTTTACTTCTCTGACAGCTGCATCGCATATATCTTCACCCTGTGAATAAAGAATAAGAGCTGTTTGGTCAACATTTCCTTCTCCAGAACAGCTGCCTGATTTGTTTGAAATCGCTTTAAAAAGTGTGGAAGTAAAAAAAACTGCACACACCTCATCAACGACTCCAGTGGGAAATTTCCAAAAACCATTTCCTCGGAATTGTCCACTCTTTTCCTGGACAACCAATACCTAGACAGAATATTGCATTTTCTAAGAGGCTAAGACGCTCTGACCAGAAGAGTGTAAACAAAAAAAATGGCCTGTGGAGGCAATGGAAATTTTACTGCTTATAACAGAAACAACTTCCCCCTTTTAATAATGAAGTACAAATACTTCAAATGCAAACACAATACTGAAAATTTAAATATAACAAAAAAAAATTACTTATGAACGATAGTCGATAAAGGACAAATAGAATCTGAAGGTAAAGGGATAAGATGTAAGGCAGTGTCAAATGCACCGGAACCTGCTGCATTAAGTATGCTTGTGTCATGGTAAACATGATCCCATAATGCATGGGAAATGCAGAGCATAATCACTCGGATTGAATTATACTCCGTATGTTAAGAGAAGAGTAGCTAGACTCTCTAAAGCACTTGATATTTCCGCAGATTTGGACATAATAGAAAAAACATAATACCTAGTCTAAAAAAATTGAAAAAAAAATATCAATATACTACCTCATTCTTTTCATTCATGACAAAAGCCCCTACACCAACCCTGTGGGTGGCATTTCCTGGAATAGTATTTACAGTTATGGGTAGCCAGTGCACAAGCATCAAATACTTCGGTTCAGCATGATGGTAATAGAATCCTTCCTGTACAGCATATTAAATTAAGCATAGAAGCTATAAAAAGTAGCAAGTTTTTTCCACAATACATTGAGCCACATGAAAACTATAGAGCCACCTTTACTAATGGTTCAACAAGGTTAGCAAGCTCAATAGGCAACTTGATCCACACACCTCTCTTTCCCTGCAGAGATATTAAGTTATGTTCAAATATAAAAAAAAGTGCATCTTGAACTGTATATCCTTAAATCAATGGTATAAATAAGTAAATCATCACTTAGAACTTCACAGGATAGGAACTGCGTGTCAACAAAGTTCTCATGTCATGCAAGCTTTCACATCTAAATTCAGTTACAATTCTTAATCATCCTGCTAAACGATCTCTCTACATCCCTATATGCGTGTCTTTTGAACCCAGGTTTTCTGTGTTCCAAATATGTCTAGTACGTTAGTACCACAAGATTAACTAGATCCTAGAAGTTAATACAATGACCAGAATATGATGAGCATAGTTGGCGCCATGTGTGTCAAAAGACGATCATAATCCATATGATGAAGAACCAGAATAAACCGGCATCTTTCTACACCGATCTAGTTTTTTCAAGCTCTCGAATGGCCCAAGAATTCTGGAAACACCAGGCACCAAGCTGAAGCTGACGCCAGTTGTAGGGGAATAATTCCACTTGTTTCAATATTTATATCATCAGTACTTTAACTCAAAAAATTTTTAGAAATAACTCAAATAAGTTCACAAATGACAAAACCCACTTGAGGCATATGTTATGTGAGGATGCACTGAAGAGGATGAAACCAATTCACTTTCTAAGCAAGTGATTATTACATAGAGGATGCTTTCAGAAAACTATTGGCAAAACATGAAAAAAATGGTACAAGCAAGTCCACTCACAATCGATGAAGTAAGGCTCTATCAAATCTTGTCCTCCCTTACATATACATCTTAAATATGCATTTCTCTAAAATGATTCTATGTACACACTACACAGTAACTTTTTTTGGCACACTTATCATTTTCAAAAAGAACTACGAATTTTGGTGGATATCAAAGTTGTATGTCTAGTCCTACGTAATCATCGAATTCTCGTGGAAGACAACCAAAAAAACATAGTTGAGCATAAAATGAGGATTAACCCCAAGATGAAGGAAGCTGTTAAAGGAGTGTTAATCAAACTTTTTTATCAAGCCAAGGAGTTTTGGCTTCCTAGAGACAATGCACAAAGCGGAGGCATGCGCCTCACAGAAGTGAGGCACACCTTTTTGCTATAAGCAAACCAAATAACACCATAAGCAACCAAACTCAATACCAAAATCTCTACATAAAACTGTCAAACAGTCACACAAAATAAACAATTAATAACTCATAACAGATAAAAGAAGAAACACTAAAAGTTTAGAACTAGACAAGTAATGAATACAATAACTGACAACGAGATACAACATACCGAACTTTTATGAAATACATAGTGAAGGAGTTTCTTACTTTCACAAGGTAATATGGATTAAAAAGAGCTTTGAAGACCCATTACGGGAGTGGTTGCAATGGCTACTTTTAAAAGGTGATTTTTAAAGTAATTAATAGTAAAAGTTGGTAATGTTTTATAAAAAATCTTTTTTTTGTAAGGTAAAAAATCTTTTTTGTGTAATAGGGAAGCATCACTTCACCTCTTCCAACTTTTAAGTGCATAATTTAAGCATTACTTCAAAACTTTTAAACAAAAAGATGAAAAACACTTTTTATGTTTTACAAACACGAAATATATACTGCGTACAACACGTTGATAACTTTATATATAATGGTGGTACAGAAACGAACAATGCTTACCTGCTGTCTCCATTGACAAATTGATGCCCGAAGCATCGTAACGAAGAGTGAAGGGTCCATGGGCTCACTGGTCATCTCAACAATCACCCCTCCATAATCGTCATTTTCACCAGAAAAGATTCTGTCAACTTGTTCCGCCTGTTTCTCCGACCCCGATGCCGCCGGAAATGCCGTTGAACTCATCGACGAACGCCGCGTATTCAAGTAACCCTCAATTCTAACTCCACTAAATCTCCCTAAAAAGGAAAATCACATATAAGATTCACCTCAATTAGAAGAACAACAAAGTAATGCTCGTGAAATAATAACGCAAACGAGACCTTTAGCTCCGAAGTGAAGCTTAGGCGTTCGAGGAGTGAAGAAAGTACGATTTGAATGAGCAGAGACAGCTATGCAGGCATTACAACAGAGCAAGGAGGTTCTACACAATAATTTAGCTACCATTTATGTTTTTCTTTTTCCTTTATGAAATCCCAAGCTTGTGGGAGACAAGAAACGAGATTGGAAACGAATCGAAATTGGTCCCTTTCAAACTCAAGAAACGTCCGAGCCGACATAAAAACTTACTTTAGTACTACCGCTAAAGATGTTTTTAGCTGGACCTTGATTTGCTGGTCTGGTCTGGTCTGATCTGGTTTGGTCTACTCTGGTCTGGTCTGAACTGGTCTGGTCTGGTTTCTTTGTATTTTTATAACTATCCAAGTCTGGTCCGGTCTGGTCTGAACTGGTCTGGTCTGAACTGGTCTGGTCTGGTCTAGTCTGATCTGGTCTGGTCTGGGACGAATTATAGTCCAAGTAAAAACATCATAAGTAGTACTGCCCTAGCCCCCAAAAACTTCTCGGTTTGACCTACACACATATTAAGGAAATAAACTTAACGGGAGTAAATTTTACTATTTTGACATTGTTTCGACACTGTTTGCCACTGTTTGTCACTGTTTTGCACTATTTTGGCATTGTTTTGATGTAGATAACTTCCCATTTAGAGAAATGGGAACTTCTTTTTGGGACTGCTGAAAAAAGATAGCGGGAAGTTCTTTGCGGGACGGAGGAAGTAAATTACTACGTAGTATACTCTTGCAAAGCATGGAATTTTTATTATTAATATAGACAATTTGTTCATATAAGAACACATATTTTGTCATATTATATATGGATGAATTTTTTTGCTTACACAAAATAAACTCTCTATGTCTATGATTTACACTTTATAATATACAACAGTCATGACTGCATGGTTGATAATCATTACGTAGTATTGTTTAAGCTTGAGTTTTTTAGAAATTTGATTGGGGCGTAAGTCGTGTTGTGGACAACCGTGGAGTAGCACTCGTGAATATACTATTAGGGTCCCCACCCCTATCAAATACGGAGTACAGTATATCACAAATTGCGTGTGGACATGAAATTTCACTTAACTCACACGCTCTACGTGAGCAAATTCTTCCTTAAGTCTAACCTTGTAGTGATACTTTGCCCATTTGATCTAGTAACCATCATTGCCATTAAACACAACATGTTGTAATAATAATATATTTAGTATATTAACTTAACGTGAAAACACTTAGTTAAACCCAAACACCTAATCGCATGCTTTATGTAATCCCTTATTAAGAACTGAATTAATTGAGACTAACCTTCCAACTCATACTTTATGTAATATTTGCATTTGACTTCTTCATGATCCGAGGGCCATGCCTACCAACCCACTTACTACCAGACATAACTTTTTTCACAATCCTTTTCATAATGGCTATTCTAACGACTTCTAGCATCGAGATGATTGGCTTGGACCTAACTTTAAGTTTTTGTTCAGAATATCACACTCCACATCGCTCCTAAAGAGAGCTTTACACCATTGATGGCTATCAACCCTTCTAAATCTACTTTAGCATCAGAACTATCTTTTCCAAGCGCAATAAGTGTTCCTTCAACTGTGTTTTTGTGGTGTACCTTAATTGCACAATTCCAAAAGTGTTTCTTCATGACATGACCAATATGTTTCTTATTCCAATTGGCGGTCAGCAATCCTTAAATGATTGAAAACAAGTACCTTAACAATGAAATCACTAAAGGGCAGAATGGTTACGACCAAATGAAATGGTGATGAATTAAAACCTTATGTTGATTACTCGTGAAAGTCCAATGGTAAGTGTAGTCGATATGTAGATCATTTTTAGTAAATTTAGAAACCATCTCCACGAGACGGTGTTCTCCATTTCTACCATGGGCGATGCTATCAGGTACATCTGATTAGGGTTGAATTGGATTCAGTTCAGGTCTTGAACTAATCCGGTGAATCTTGGGACCGAACCGAAAATTCGGTTAATCTAATAATCACACCCAAAACCGAATCGTTCATAGACCGGGTCACAATTTATTGGGAACCTTTTTTGGGTCGGTTTAAACAAAATAAAAAAAAAACCGATTATATTTCTATAAAAATAGGGAAAATGGAAATTAATAGGACTATTAAACTTGAACTAGTATTCAATTCATTAAGCCAAAAATGAGGCTATTAGAATATTGAGCTCATTAAAGGCTCCTCTAGTACCCCATTACCTGAATACATGACCGATGAAGTCACAAATTGAAAAGTGAGCACATCCCTTATTATATACTCTCTCCGTCCCTAAATAAAAGCATCTGTTTCCTTTTCGGGCCGTCCCTAAATAAAAGTTCCCTTTCCTTTTTTGGCAAACAAAACAGTGTAAAACAGTGCAAAACAGTGCAAAACAGTGCCAAACAGTGTCCAAACAGTGTCGAACAGTACCAACCAAACCCACTTTCTTAAGATGTGTGTAAAATGAATAGATACTTTTATATAGGGACGGAGGGAGTACTACGTAGACCTATCTGTGGTTTCCGGTTAAACTGGAACCAGAACCGCCAGTTTTTTAACCGGACCGGAACCGGAACCAGAACCACATAGTACTTCCAATTCGGAACATGAGGTTTACTAGACCGGTTCGGTTTCCACAAAAATGTAGAACGAGAACCGGCGGTTCCGGTTCGGAACCTCTTTTTTTAATTAATTATTTAATTATAATATTATTAATAATGCTTAAAATTATTATATTATTAGAATTAATTCTATTAATAATAATAATATTATTATATTATTAGTTATAAGTGTCACGCCCCGGACCTACCCGGACACGTCAACAACCCGCCGTACAGTACGAATAGTCAACCGCAGTCCAACTCATCCATACTATACAAGGCATCTTGAATACCATTCACATATAGTACATCCATAAACAAACATAATGTAAAACATTTATTTAAAACAACGGAAGCATTTAATCAAAGTGTCTTAGCCACACTTTGGCAAACATGGGCATGCAAGCCCCCCAAATAGTTATTCAAAAATTATATCCATGAGCATTATTATAATTGTTTTGAAATCAGAAAACAGAAGAAGCACGAACCACGTCTTCTCCCCTGAATATCCCGAGCAACGGGCGCCGGTAGCAACCTTCAAGTCCTACCTGAAACTGTGAGGTGGCATCCCCCGTGAAGGGGAGGTCAGTACTTGGAAGCATTTGACAAGTACAATGACAACTATACTAAGTATAATCAACGTTTTAATTTCCATGACCCCCAAAATAGGGTGATATCATAATATAAATAACAATTTATATTTTCCACTTGTTATCCTTATAATAAGTAAATTCATTTATTTGTCGGCACACGGCTCTTCTTATATGATCCTTTTCATTTCTCATTTGCACAACCCAACCCTTGGGTCTTATTATTTCTACGGGACTTGCTACCGCTGTCCGAGACCTCATGAGGCTCTCGGTTCGGACTCCAACATCCCGCCCCTGGACTCATATCCATCATCCCGTAGGAAGGTAAGGCCCTTCGGGGTCCTATCTTATGTGTTACCGCTACCGGAACCTAGTTAGGTCTCCAATTCGGATTCCACCCTAACCCGTGATCACAATGCAAGTCCATGCTATCCAACCCCGCTCTCTAGAGTCGGGAAGGGCCATGGTCCTTACTTATTTCCATAATTCAACCGGCTATCCACAAGGACTACCGAACACACCCGCAGGTCAATCCTATACCTAGGATCGATTTATTACTTACTTTATCTTGGGTATCCCTTAAGGCCTACCCCTAGTATAACTTAGAGTTCATACTTTCCTACCTTAAAGCATCTCTTAAGACTACTTAAGGCATAACATTTCACAATCCAACCTTAGGATCAATCTTAACAACATTTCATTTTAATGTCCAACTAGTATCTTAATACTAGTCCAATTAATACCAACAAACCAAGTTCTCAACTCATAGTCATATAAACAATTCCAACTGATTTTCCTTTGAAAATATCATTTATCTCGATATTCAAAATATCACTTTTAATCACTCATATATTCTAATATGAAGTAAAAAGTATATTTCAACATATGTTTCATAATTAATTCTTCTTTCAAGTCAACATTTTCCTAACACATGATCATACACAATTTACTCTTAAATTTGTATATCATGGTCCTTTTCTCTATAGACATTAGTCTTCTCATTCTTAGGCATTATTAATCATTAATAATCCATAAAAACACATTTAATTACCTTAGGTAATCTCATGAAATTAACTCACTAATTATAAGCAATATAGCCAGCCATCCTCACCTTATGATGTGCTCAACTAGCTGCCTTAGCAAAACCCCCTCGATCCGTCCTCGTTCTAGGCCGTTCAAGAGTGAAAAATCTGGAAATAAGGTGAAAGCCGGGCGGCTTTCGTGAAAGGTGGGCGACTTTCGGGCATGCAGCTCGAAAACAATCCCCAACAATGGCGGTTCTCCGGCGGTTTCGACTCCTATCGATTCCACAACTCTTCTAAGTTAAATACCACCATTTTATATCAATATTCTACACTTTTAAACGTGTAAAACTCATGGTTTAATCCACCATATGATTTATTAAAAATCATACGAAGAAAATACTAGTTAATGTATACTAGCTAAGTTCTTACCTCAAATCTTAGCCTTTTTGTGTTGGGTTTTCTTTCCTATTGCTTCTTCCTACCTTGGACCTTGTGAGAGCTCTTCCTAGAGGTTCTCCTCTCTTGATATGGCCGAGTGGTGTGAAATGAAGGAGGAAGCATCTCCCCAATCAACTCCCAAGATAATACATGTGTATGGGCCCTTGGGAGTGATTTCTTTGTCTTGAGCAATCTCTTCACTCAATGAGTCCGCACCTCCCATGTTTGAATGTCCCTTTCTGCTCTCACTCAGTCCATAAAGACGTGAGGTGGCCCCCGCTCATGTGGGCGGTCATCCCTTTAAGTCCCGGTGTGTATAATCAGCCCCGAAAGTTGTATTTCTCGGACAGTTTTAAATTCTATTTTATTTTATCGGACCAAATAAAATATATCACACGTTTCTAATGATTATTGCCCTTTAGAATAGGTGTACATTCCCCAATATTAATTTGGGAGTCTCCGAAATTCATTTCGGGCTGTTATCCGATACATTACCAATACCGATAATTAGGCCTCGTTTGACCCACCGGTCAACCCCATGTCCATTCCATGGCCCACA